GATCAGATTTCGCGCGTCTACGCGATCAAAAGGTGACGATTACCCGCAGCGCACGTCGAATATGGGTTAATGTTTTTTAAATATTTAAAAATATAACGTCGCCCACACAAAGCAAGACCTAGAAGCGTAGAAACAAATCGATTAATACACGTACGTCCAGCTGATAATGGAGATCGTATGAGCGGCAAACTCCCTCGAAATTGACTACTAATTATTATTATTATTGTTAATGTCTCCCTTGGGAAACCGAAAAAAAAATTGTGTGAAAAAATGTGATTTTGAGACTCTCATTTGACTGTCGAGAGACATTGAGAACAGTGGCGGAATGCAAGTTGGAATAGTTTACTGAAGAACGAAGTTAGACAATTAGGACTAAAAGTACATTCTCATTCTCAGTCCCTCACGTTTACGAAATCTGACATCTATGAAGGCACCTCCATAACATGTAGGCGTTTGTTTAGAAGAAGAGGATACTCCCATTCATTTCCTAACCAACCGCACACCATTGGGCAGCAGCCGATTAAGGAATAGCTCAATTTATTGAGACCGACGACATCAAGGAATAACCGTTAATGGAGAAATTATTAACAACGTATGATGACACATTGAAAACATCAATACGGGTAGTAAATGAAATTGAATCTTAAAAAGATAAAATTAATGGTAATATCAAAAATACCAGCTGTTACTGCCGACTTGGCGATATCTAACACACAAATTGAAAGAGTCAAATCATACAAATATCCGGAGGATTACTGAAACTAACGAACAAACTGGAGAATTTAAGGGTGGAATAAAAATAGCAAGACAGGTAGTTATTCAAATGAAAATGTTTCTATGCTGTCGAGACATCAACTTAAATTTGAAAGTTAGAATGCTGCCTTGCTATTTCTTCTCCGTGTTGCTGTATCGTATGGAGGCATAGACTTTGAAACATAACGATATCAAAAACATTGAAGCATTTGAAATGTGGCGCTATAGGAGAATGTGGAGAATATCGTGGACTGGGGGACTGACAAACGAGGATGTGCTGTCAAGAGTGGGGAAAAATCGTGAACTAATAAAAACTATAAATAGAAGAAAATTGGAATATCTCGGTAATATAAGGACGGGGCGAAAGATACGAGCTGTTGAGGCTTATCATCCAAGGAAAGAACTAGGGATAGAGAAGTGTAGAACGTAGGAGATTGGTATGGTTATAGCTCGACAGAATTGCGCAGATCCGTAGTCAATAAAATTAGAATAGCGATGATAGGAGTAACAACCGTAGTGATGTGTTCTATTAGATTTAGACTATGAATAAATTAATAATTCGCTCTGTATTTGGGAAACAAACTAGACGAGATTGAAAGATTTTAGATTATCTCTAAATCGCTAGTGTTCTAAAGAGAACAAAGAAGCAAGGCTTTATAGCACTATATCTAAAGTTACCAACGAATAGTTTATTTAAAGAACCAACAAAATGACTACAGATAAAACCAAGCTAAAACTTTATGTAGTCAGAAGGGTTTATATGAGTCCAAGCTAATACTAAAACAAGACGAGTCCACAAGGTTTAAGGCACGTGGTGATTCTGTAGTCCTCAGGTTGACGCAACGAATCATCACTCCAATCGGGTTGCAACGTTCTACGTCTTCCGATTCCTAATCTCCATTCCTCTCTATCCATCCACATGTTATATCTTCTATACAGGCCTCTTTCTCGAATTTCATCATGGGTTCCCTCTCTCCAGCTCTTGCGTCGTCTGCCTCGTTGCAGTCTTTTTTTTTTTTTTTGGAATTTGATATTTTGGGATTCCCTGTACGTGTCCATGCCAAATCAGCTCCCGAGTTCTAATTTCATCTATAATATATCATGTTTTATTTCCATGCCCTGTCTTATCGTATCATGTGGTGTTCTATCTCTTCTCTTAGTATTTTCTGTGCTTTTTCTTTCAGAGGCCATACTTCCGTGTTATGATGCCTTCAACGATTGAATTGTAAATTCTTTTTTTGTTATTTACATTTATATTTTTGCTATTGCTTCGTCCAGAGTTCAATTTTCATTCCCAGATATTTGTATTTAATTGTATGCCCTGTTGCCGGTCGTAGATCTTGCTGTTGTCCTCCGATGCACATGTATTCGGTCTGGCCGATGTTGACTTCCAAATCGTACTTATCATATGCCTCCATCAGTGCAACGACAACTTGAACATTCACGAACGATAGAGTGTAAACTGTATACTCGTCATCCACTCGTATTCCTATATTTTCGCATTTTCCAAATAAATTTTAATTAACGTTGGAAACATGCAACAATATTGTTTAAGGCCTTCCGTAACAGTAAATCCTGTTATTAAACCATAGCTTGTTTTAACTCTGGATCTTGTTCTTTGATCTGACGATTTCAACGCGTTTATTATTTCTGAGTTTATATTGCTTTTTTGCAAAGTCTTACGTCATACGTCAACAAATAAGAGATGAACTTCTTGATTAAATGCTGTCTTCTTTTCTACGAGGTGTGTTAGTGACAAAAGGCGATCAATTATGGATTTTCATGCTTTTCAGCCTGCATATTCCCTTTCTTTTCTATTTTTTACTATTTTTCCATATATTCTACGAAAGCAACTTGTAACCGCTATGCCCCAATAGTTGCCGCAGTTGCTCTTGTCTCATTTTTTGGCAGTATCTGAAATATGGCATATTCCATTCTTCAGATACTGCCGATGTGTTAAGGCATCTTTTGAGTATAATTAAATGCACGAATTAATTAAATATATTAAAAATACTCGGTGAAAAGGTGAAAATCTTCCAATTCGCCAGCTCGGTAACGATCTCATCTGAAAATTACTGTCGTTTGAAACGCGTGAAGGTAAGCGGCGTCGCTCCGGAAATGAACATTTCCTTGACCTACATGGCAACGCCGCCGACGACAAAATCCCTCGATACCTTCTCGGAAACGTACGGCGTACCGACCAAGCGCTCACGATCTCTGATCTCTCTCGAAATTTTGCAATGGCGCGCGTGGGAAATCGCCTTCGACGACGAGGGTTTTCAAAACATATTTTCTGCGTACAATCGCGGTCAAACGGTCAATTGGCTCCGTTAATTCGATTTTAATTGACGTCGCCTAAGAATATAGTTTATCGGGTCCGAAATTCTGTTCTGGCGGAATTTCAACGCGATTAAGTCATCGCAGTTCGGAAAATAATAATACATTTATTACGCTGTGTTCAATATGCAATACGATAAGATATTATAATTAGATAAATTGCAGAAAAGGAGATGAAAGCAATTAAAAACGGTTCAACCATTAATTCGCCTGAGTAACATACAATAATATAAACAAAACAAAAAAAATCAAAAATAGAGTAGAAAATCTCGACACTAAACGCGAAAATCACCAGCATTGTGCTTGTGGATTAAACAATTTTTGTCTTAATTTCCTTTTAAAAAGTAATGGCTATGGGACTGTCAAAGAACGAGGAATTGTATTGTATAGTTTATAAATATTGTAGGAAAAGCTTCTTCTATGCGGTGGTAGACACCTATCCTTATACGTTAATTTATTTGCCAAGTAACGTGGACTGTTATTAATAATAATGTTATAGAAATCGTCTGTTCTGCGTATCAAACCATTTATAATCCTGCAGTTGCAGGATTATAAATTGCTCGCCAAAACGAAAATCTGTGTTAATTCTTCGACCAACATTTTTGATATTTTATTATTTTTGGGAAGCGTGCAAGTTTCCATCCATCTGGAAACACTCATTCCAAGAGGCACGAGTTTACTATATTAGTGAGAAATGGTAAAATTCTGGGGCAACACGTTAACAACATTTCTATATTTATTAAATCTGAATCAGACGTCGTAGAAAACGAGACTTTGTCATTTACATTTATTGTTAAATTATTTCGGTAATATTGTAACAATATAGGATATGTTTGTGGTTTATGTTTTGAATACTGTAAGAAATACTGGTTTATATCTGGTTTTCATTAGAACCAGATTCTTGGATTTTTTTTTTCATTTTTAAATGTGATTTTAGTTTGGTCGCGTAGCTGCTTATTGCCATCCCATTGACTTTTATTTTTTGTAGTTTTGTACTTTTTAAAAGCTTTATCTCTCATCTTTTTCTTGATGTGCAATATCCGTTTTTTACCGAATGTCAGCAATCGTATTGGCCGTTGTCCTAAGCAGCGTATTAGTTGATTTTCCTAACCACTGTCGTAGGTTTTTCAGCCAAGATGTTTTTCTTCTCCCTGAGCCTCGTCTTTCCTCAATCTTGCCCGGAATGATCCAATGCTGGACGTTGTATATTTCAAAACATGGCCGAAGTAAGAGAGTTTCTTAATCCTGAAGTTCGCAATGATTTCTTTATTTTTCTTCATTCCGCTCATGACTTCTATGTTAGTGATCTGAACGCTAGAACGGAATCATCTATTACCCCATTTATTTTTATCCCTTCTTAGCAATTTTCTTTAAGGTTCTTGGAATATTGTCTCCGTAATGGTGAAAGAATGCAATCCTATCTTACCCCTCTTTTAATTGAAATGCTTTGAGCCATATTATTTCCTATTTCCAAGTCTTCATCATCAATTCTTGTTGTTTTTAGTATTCGAATCATTTTTTCGTGTTGCACTCTGTCAAACGCTTTCTCGAAGCCGATAAAGCACATAAATGGTTGATAGTTGTAGTTGATAGTTGTAGTTGATAGTTGTAGTTGATACCTAGGCTCTTACGGAATCCGAACTGAGTATCTTCAATGTGTTCCTCAATTTTGGGGTAAATTCTGTGATTTATTTTTAAAAACAATTTTAAGACATGACCTATGGTTCATTGTAATTTCTAACTTCTAGCGGGATGAACGTCGACTTCAACGAGTGAGATGGCATATCTGCTTTATATTGGTATATTGAATTTATCTCTCAGGTTAATTATAACTTTTGCTGTATCTGTTAACCATGGTGGTCTTTGCCTCGAGCGATGATATCCGATTAACACTTTTATTTTCTTTACAGTCGACAAGGAGCAGAACAACTACCTCCACCAGCTGCTGTCGAGGCAACGAACGGATCTCCAGCATCCGTCTTTATGCGACTATGGCCGACGAAAGTCCCTGTACCCCACGACTACTGGTATGTACGTTTTACCGTAGAACTATAAATATTCGCTGCTTCCTTAGAAAACTTCGAACTTCGATCTTCATTTTGACTTAATGGTTCACTATTTTTTTCGCTATCGACTCTGTCCTGCAGAACCCGATTTCCCGCACTTATAAGCGACGCTAAAGGTTTTCGCGTCCCCCGTAAACTGTTAGGGGCAACGTCGTGTGATCTGAGAGGTTGGTTAGTACGTTCTATTATTTGGAAGTCACTTTCAGCTAGCTGTAATGTTAAAAAACCAAACGCAAAAAGTTTCTCGGCTCTCCTTGCGTGATTTTTTCCAGCGACTTGTTCGGCAATAACGATCGGAGGAAAATTGTTACCTCTTCCTCTGAAAACGTTTAGGGTGCAGGAACGGGTTCGATGTTTATGCAAATGGTAACATCTGCTTATCAACAAAACCGCAAAACGAAAACAAGCATTTTTCCACGAATCATCATGCCCCTTCGTCCGGATAGAATGACCGAGCAAAATATCAATACAAATATTTTTCGGACACTTTGAATGGGACAAGGTGCCCGTATATACCTACCCTTAAAGGGTTCCACGCAAAAGGGTATCGGGCAGCTGACGGCGGCGCCTTCTTTTGCGTATTATGATGCATATAAGGTTGCAAAATCCATAAAGTTGAATCAGGATTGTGCAGTTTGGTTGTTTTTCGGCAAAATGTGCGAAAACGCACGTGCACCCTCCGCATCTGTCACATCGGGGTGAATTATTATTGTGCAAGGGCTCGAAAGGGTTAATGCGGTGGAGAAATGTTTGTCCCGTGCGGGTTTAAGGGATGCCTGAAAGTAGCCAAATGTCCATTATTATTTTTGTTGCTATGCGATTGTATTCTCAACTGGCAAAACTGAGAATTCTATTTGGTAAATAGGGTTTCGTATTATTGGACTGTGAACAAGTATAGACTCATACCTAGATTTCCTTTAAAACCAATTGAATGTTCCTGAAAATAGTTTAGGTACACGTGGTACACACAAATAAAAGTGTCAATATATTAGTTATATTTTTTTATTTAATAATGGTGAAAATATTATTATATGAAAAACTAGATATAGTTAATTAATTCTGCAAAATCTTTCCCATCCAATGTCGAGTCTAGACCTTTTACCTATTTGTAAAAAAAACACGAATAAATGAATACGAGTGCTTGTCTTTGATCTTAAAAAAAATTGCCTTTATCACGAATACCCACAAATATTGTGTTCTATATAAGGCAGCTCTGGGTATATAACGGTGGAATTCACAGCAGTAAAGAAGACCGCGGATCGTTACGTTTGGGTCGAAGGAGAAGCTGGCAGATGATCTCGAGATGTGGGATTATATATATTACAGCAAAGTCAAACATACATCTTATTCTACGGAGTCAGAAATATTAAATTTACTCTTTGCCTTCTTTATATTTTACAAAATACGGGATCCGACTCGGATTCCGGTGATATAGAATGCAAATTAAAATTATTCCGACGTGTTTATACGCCTGATGATTATATTGGTATTATAAGAAACTACCTTAAAAAGAGCCATTGATAGTAACAAAAATGGAATCCAATAATGTTTTAAATATTGAAAAAAATATCTTTTTTTTATTATAACAACATAACAAAATTCTTAGATTATCTTAAACATTACAAAGGACAATCATATGCTGATGACAAGCAGCTCTACCATGTTTTTGACTCCTCTAGATTGCAGCTTGAGTGCCAAAATATCAACAGTGACCTTGAACGAATTGACAGAATTTCCAGAGATCATGGTTTGCTTTTAAACCCAAAAAAATCTTCTGTACCGTTTTTTGGTCGGCCGGTGGATGTTAAGCGTCTTGCTTCTGAAGTAATCATAAAAATAAACAATATTACTCTTCCTCTTCGAAACGAGGCAAAAAATTTGGGATTTCTTTTAGATACAAAACTTCGCTTTGAAAAGCATATTTCGACTTGTACGCAAAGGGCTATCGGCCGTTTATGCGATGCTCTTGTTATCTCCGTCTTTAATCACTGTGATGTCGTATATGGGCCTTGTTTGACAGCTAATTCGTCCCAACGTATTAAAAAAATTCAAAAATGCTGCTTGAGGTTTATTTACGGCATCCGTCGCGGAAGACCCATTCCCGCTTCCTTCAGCTACAAGCTGAAGGAAGCGGGTTGGACGAACATGAAGACGCGGCGCGTGATCCATCGCTGTTGTCTTTATTTCAAAATAATTAAGACAAAATATCAGGAATACCTGTCCGAAAAAATAACTTTTAGAACAGACGTGAATAACTTAAATCTAAGATTTAAGTTATTCATATTGGGTTGTTCGGAAAGTCATTTCGTTTTTTTTGGGGAACATGAAAAACAGTTTTCGTATAATGAATAAATATTTTATTAAATTGTATATTGGCCGTTCTGGTCCAACACCTTTTGCCATCTTTCTGGCAGTAACATAATTCCCCTCTCATAAAAGTTTTGGTCCTTGCTGGCAAAAAACTGGTTCAGGTGGTTTTTGACATCTTCATTTGAGGTAAAGGTTTTGCCATCCAAAAAATTTTGCAGGGACCGGAACAAATAGTAGTCGGAAGGCGCCATATCTGGAGAATATGGTGGATGTTGCAGTACGTCCCATTCAAGCTGTAAAAGTTTTTGGCCAGTGACCAAACTTGTGTGAGGTCTCGCATTATCCTGGTGGAACACTACACCCTTCCTGTTGATTAATTCGGGCCTCTTCTCTTTAAGTGAATCATTCAATTTGTCCAGTTGATGACAATAGACTTCTGAATTAATCGTTGTATTGTCCGGCAAAAGCTCAAAAAAAAACGATTCCTTTGACATCCCACCAAACGGAGAGCATCACCTTTTTTTGGTGAATGTTGGCATTTGACACGCTTTGAGCCGGTTCATCTTTTCTGCTCCATGACCTCTTGCGTTTAACATTGTTGTATACAACCCATTTTTCGTCCCCAGTAATAATCCGCTTCAAAAATGGATCATTTTCTTGACGTTTGAGGAGCGAATCACACACGTCAACGCGACGACACAAATTTCGCTCCGTAAGGACATGGGGCACCCACACATCGAGCTTCGAGGTTAAGCCCATGCCTTTCAAATGGCCATAAACAGTCGAATTCGACAAATTTAATCTCTCACCGATCTCTCGTGTGGTTATTCGCCGATTTGCATCAACTAATGCCTTTATCGCATCTTTGTCAGCTTCGACCGGCCTTCCAGACCGTGGTGCATCTTCGACATCAAAATTGCCGGATCGAAATTTTGCAAACCAGTTCTGGCACTGGCGTACTGTTAACACGCCTTCTCCATACACATCCGTCAATTTTTTTCTCGCTTGGACAGCATTTTTACGTTTTCTGAAGTAAAAAAGTAAAATATGACGAAAATGCTGCTTATTGCTCTCCATATTTAAAAGGGCACCAACCAAAAACTACTGCGTAGAATTAATAGAACTTTTTCACACACAAGCCTTGCAATATCAGCTCTCAAGACATATAATGGTTATGCGGCTTAAGTGTGAAGTTGGTTTCGAAAAAACGTAATTAAGTCCTCTGACGGGAAAAAACGAAATGACTTTCCGAACAACCTTATATATAGTCTGCTTCAACATTGAAATCTAGCTCTTCCACGTCGAACCCAACTACATCTTCAACTATATGGTTTAAGCTGCTATAAAAAGACAGAGCATTTCAAGGTACAAGATGCATCGTTCCTTTTAAGTTTCCCGTCGGAGATTGGTTTACCATAATGCTTGCAAAATGCAAAATTTTTTGGATGGCAAAACCTTTACCTCAAATGAAGATGTCAAAAACCACCTGAACCAGTTTTTTGCCAGCAAGGACCAAAACTTTTATGAGAGGGGAATTATGTTACTGCCAGAAAGATGGCAAAAGGTGTTGGACCAGAATGGCCAATATATAATTTAATAAAATATTTATTCATTATACGAAAACTGTCTTTCATGTTCCCCAAAAAAAACGAAATGACTTTCCGAACAACCCAATACTTAAGTTATCCAGTTCTATATTTCTCCTACATTATCCTTTAATATAATAATTTGTTGATACTTCCTATTTTTTGAAAAAATAAAATAAATTAAAACCGGTTATACTGTAGAGTAAGATGATACTTGTGCTATTGCTATCACTGTTTTGTAGGCAGCCACATGGATGGGTGCGTTGTCCTGTTGAAAAACTATGTATTCGTCTTCAGTCAGCTTAATGAATGGTAAAGGAGGGACATATATCGGCCCAGATCATAACCGAACCTCCTCCTTTAATTCTTCGAGGCATAATTTTTCTATCAAATCATGCCAATAATTCTTACCTCCACCGGCACTGGCAAGATTAATTTTCTTTTCAACACTAAATGTGACAAGTTGCCAAAAGTCACCTTCTGATTGATTGATTGATTTAATTTTTGTTGTGTTTGATGTACTAACACATTTTTTCCGTTTGAAAAGTTTTGATTCAGTTGCCCACTTTCTCACTAAACATGGATCACAATTTAGATTATATCTACGCAACAGTACTGTTTGAGTTCATATTTTTTCACAGGTCTGTATCTTTCAGGGTTTGGAAAAAGAAATCAACGAAAATGTTGGTTAGGTAGGTTTTAAATGAAATATTGTAAATTGTACAAAAAGATATTAAGGCAAAGCCAAAGAATTTCGGAAAAATAAAAACTTAGCAACCCGTATTTATAAAAATTAATGACTCAACATTGATTGATTGATAACTTTGAAACGAACGAATTTTCTACGTTGTTTTATATTAATATTTTGCTCTCCGGCTGTCGCTTAATCTTTTCGAAAAATTGTTTGAGCTAAAAAACGGAAAATTGTAACGTAAAAGCTAAACCTTTCGGGCTAGGAAAGTACCGAGGTCCTATTGTAATAATTTTTTTTTATATCGGAAAGAAAGGCACTAAAAGATTAAGGCGGAGGTATGTGCGTGCGTATATATGGTTGGTTGTCTTTTC